GATGCAGATGTTGTGTGACGTGGCATAGGATAGCAGCCGCCTGATGAATGACTCTCTCTGCAGCAGAGGCAGCGTCGAGAGCCAGCCGGGCCTGGGCCAGGGATGCCCTAGGAGTGGGAGAAACTGGGCTAGATCCCCAGGGACTCACTCCTCAGGGGGGAGCCGGATGGCAGAGGGGGGTGGGTTGGGAAAGCACCCAGGCTCTCCTGTGGAGCCCATTAGCCAGATGTTTCTTTTATCTGGCCTCAGTTTCCTCATCTGTACAATTCAAGGGTTGGGCTAAATCTCAAGTCCCTGCCCATTTTGACATTATGTGTTCTATTCTCAGGGCCCTCCTAGAATTCTAATAAATGACTGGAGTCAGGACTCTTCTCCAAAGCAGGATTTGATAGGGGGGAAGAAGTGGGGGTGGGGGGGGCAGTTTCCAGAGATGATTAGGACAAAGTCTACTTATTTCACAGTCTTGGGGAGGGCAGTGTTCCATCCTCCATTTTGGAGTGGATTGGCTCTTCCCCTTGGCTTCTCTAAATGGGCAAAGGGTTTTCCCCCCCTAAAATGGGCTGAACCAAGCTTAGGATGTCCCCTTGGTATAAGGAGTCTGGACCACAAATCAGAATGCAAAATGAGGTTGTAAGCCAAAGCTGTTACTAAGAGGCAACTGTGTGACCCTGGGTAGGTCACTGCCTTTGCCTGGCCTCAGTTTCCTCCTCTGTAAAATGGGGACACTTGCACTGTCTGCCTCATACAAACTCACCCACATGCATGGTCAATCACATGCCTGCCCCAGAACCTGCCCCTCCCTCAGCCTGCTTAGCCTCCCTCCCTTTGGGGGGGAAGGCATTGTCTCCAGAAGGCCTCTGTTAAAGATGCAAATGTTATCACCTGTAGAGAGGCTACACATGGATCCCCTAGCTAGTGTAATAACATAGATTCATCCATCAGACTGACTCGCTGTCCCTGGAAAGATGATGGAGCCTGGGCCACTGGTCAGGTAAGTTTGGATGGGGGGGTGGGGAGAGGGAAGAAGGAGAGGTTAGGTCTACTGGGGATCTGCTGTAGAAGGCTCGGAGGTGGCTCAAGGGCCTGAATTACCTCCAAGTGGGACGTGAGAGCAAGAACACACAGGAAAGCATGTATTTTTTTAGAGGAGGAGATAGATCCAGGCTAGTAAGGGGCTGTGCCAGGATTAGAACTCAGGTCCTCTGATTCCCTGCTAGACTATAAGCCTCTTGACAGTGCAGACTGTGCTCCTCTCCTCTCAGGAAGTGTTTAGAATAGAATTGAGCAGCTGTGAGGTTGGCTGGAGGATAGAAGATGTTGAGGGTCCCCTGGCCTGGAAGGGATCACTGTGGGAGCAGATCTTCTCTGTCCAGAGGGAGGAAGGAGAATCAGCACTTTGCCTAGAGGCCAGGAGCAGAGCTGCCCACCCTGGCAGGGCTCCAGGACGCCAGAGGGAGGCCAAATGCTGAAATCATCTTCATGAGAGGCGACAAGAAATGACCAGTAGGAGGGAGATGGGAAGAGCTTAGGCCCAGCAGTACAACACAGTAGGAAGCCTGGGTGGGGTAGGGAGATACCACATTATCCCCTTGACCCACATTGGGCCCTCTTGCCATCCTCTCTGGGCCCTTCTTCCTAGGCCAGGCTCCTCACATCGTCCACTGGGCCCTGGGCCATCATGGCAGACCTAGCCCCTTCCTTGGATAAAGCCTGTCCCCCCCTTCCCTACTGCCTAGACAAATCTCTCTGGGAAACAAGGAAGTGGAGGAAAAAGCCCTGAACTGGGGTTTTCCTGTTCTGGCTGGCCCACAGTCCAGCTGTCTGGCCTGAGGCTTGACCTCTGCACCCCCCCTCCCAGTGGTCTGAGGATTTTCTCTGCCTCTATTCCTGCCCCCAAAGGATGAGATGCTAAGAAAGGACAGGTTGTTATCCCCAAACCATCATTTCTTCCACCAATCCCCTCATGCAGGAGGAGCCCAAAGAAAGGCTGAGGATTTATAGCCCTGGGATTGGTAAAGCTGCCCTGGGATCAAATCAAGATAAAAATGATGCTTCGTATTTGCAGAGGATGCCCGGGGTGGTGGGAAGATCATGGGGTTTATATTCGCAGGTCCTGGGTTCAAGTCCTATCCACAATGACTAGCCCTTCGCAGAGAGAACTCTTCCCTTCCCTGTACCTCCATTTTCTCACCTGTACAATGATGAAGTTGGCCTAAAGGATCTCTAAATCCTCCAATGTGATCTACTTATTCCAGGTTTTTGAGCCCTTTGTCTCCTAGAGATTGAGCCATCCTGGGGGAAGCAGGGAAGGTGTTGATCCCATTGTACAGTTAAGGAAACTGAGGTTCCCCAAAGTCAAGTCCCTGAGGCCAAGCCTAGACTAAGCCTACAGGTGAAGGTGAAGGGGATCCAGGTAGAGGGATGGCAGGACTGTGGAAGCAGGGAGGTGGGCATACTCTCTCTCTCATTCACAATGCCAAGTTTAGAGATGGCAATATTTTCAGGATGCCAACCCACACTCTCCATGTGTGAGGGCCCAATACTAAGAAATATTTATTTGAGATCATGAATTCTCAGAGTAAAGAGCGCTGAGGAAGAGCACCAATCCCCACCCCTACCTCCCAACAAGGGAGGCACTTGGTTCTTCAGGGGTTTTTTTGTTTTGTTTTGTTTTTTTGTGAGGCAGTTGGGGTTAAGTGAGTTACCCAGGTTCACACAGCTAGGAAGTGTCAAGTGTCTGAGGCTGGATTTGAACTCAGGTACTCCTGACTCCAAGGCCAGTGCTCTATCCACTGCACCACCTAGCTGCCCCCAGGCTCTTCTTTCAAAATGCAGATATCCCTAGGACAATGAAACCTATCAGTCACCTACACCTTAGTCTGAATAATTCCAGTCTGCCAATTACACCAGTTGACCATTTCCCTGGATTTACCGTCAACGGGAATTGTAGATATCTTCCAAGATGGGGGGATCCCAACCTATACTTTGGTAGAATTTTTGGCCCAGAGATTTACGTGTGAACTCCCAAAGTGCCTTCTATAGGATGGAAGAGGCCTTGGTTAGGTAGATACTTCTTCAAATTCCATGTAAAATATGGTCCCAGAGAAGGGTTTTGTCATTCCATACTCTGCCAGGATCCTGAGAGCAGAGTTATAATTAAGGTTCACGTTGGTGGCATTGTTTTAGAACCTTAGATGAGGATTCTTATCTTGGAAAAAGTTGGGAACTCTTGGTTTTTTTTTTTCCAACTCCCTCATTTATAGATGGGGAAACTGACTTTCCCAAATTATTAAGGAGCCGAGCCAGGGTCTGGATCCCAGTTCTCTGACCCCCAATCTCATGCTGTAATACCATGCTGCCTCGACAGGGAAAAGAGTTTTGACCGAGGCTGAGGGAGGCAGGAGAGGTTAGCTGGGAAGCCCAGTGGCCAGGGGGAGAGATCAAGGACTCTGGCTGGCTGGAGGGGCCCTGAGGACACTGGGTGTTGTAGAAAGGGGCCTTAGTGCCTTCCACTCACCCTGAGGTATGAGCTGGTCTCCAGCCATCTCCCCCCTCAGAATGCACGCCCTTCCTCGATGATGAGTACTCCTAAAATTCTGAGCTTTCTTCAAGGCTTAGCTCAGGGGGCGCCTCCTCCAGGAAGCCTTTTCTCATCCCCTCAGTCCTTTCTCCCTCTGCAAATTACTTAGTTTGGCACATACTCTATCCCCTAGTAAAGTGTAAGGCGCCCCCCCCCCCACCATGCCTGGGGAGGCGGGGAGGTGCAATTCAGTGACACTCTTTGAAAGGAGGTGGAAGGTGAGGACATAACCAACATCTGAAAATACCACACCAGTGAAGGCAGAATTGCAGGCTGGATAATTTTTTTTTAATTTTTTCTTTTTTAGGTTAACATACACATTTTGGAAACAAACACGTGATTGGTGCTTATATGTTTCTGCCTAATTATTTTTATGTTGCTTGTTTTTCTTGGATGGTTATTTGGTTAATGAGGACTAAGGTTAGAAGAAAACAATAAAAGAGCAGAACAAAAAGGAAAGAGAAGTCTCTTACTTTGCCGTTTTGCTTAGGGCCCTGGTAGCGACCAAGCGCCACCGAAAATCCTTCTCTATTCAAACAGACAAAAAATGATGCTCTGATGATGGCAAAGACAACAATTAACAAGAACAACAGTTATAAGGCACATTAATAGAGCTTCACGGTTTCCAAAACGCTTTTCCTTCTATGAGAGAGGATGTACAAGTATGATGTTTCCCTTCTAGTGAGAAAACACACTCAGAGACTTTCCGTAACCTGCCTAGGGTCACACAGCGGGACTCGACTCCAGGGCTCTGCTTTCGGTCTTAGAAGCAGGGCTGCCTCAGAGGGCCAAGGGGCTCGGCTGCCTGGGCTGCACCCAGGGTCTCACTGCAGTGCCTGCCGCTGCTCCTGGGATGGGGATGAGGACAGGAAGGCAGGCCCTGATCAGTCTAGTCGGGAGCCAAGGCTCCGGTCCGTGGCAAGAACTGGAGTGGTTCTCCTCCTGCGTCACTTCGTCTTAGAGTTACTTTTCACGTCCCTCTCCTAGATGGTGACTGCCATGCAGATGGGACCTGTCTTATGCAAGTTTGTCTCTCCCCCAGAGCCTAGCACATTTCTGGACGTAGCGGGAGTTAACATAATCAATGGGGGTTGAGTTTTCAGATGTCTGCTGTGGAAGGAGGTCTATGCTGAGTGCCCAGTGAGGGGGTGGAGCCAGGCAGGCCATGGGAGAGGGTAGGGAGGGCATGCCTATGGCGGGCATCTTAGGGAAGGGGACATCTTCCTGGCCTGACACTCCCTGTAAGATGTTCTTGTTTTTGTGACACTTTGGGGGGGGCTCTGGACCTGTGATGTATCTCAAAGGTAGGTTTGGCAGTTCTCTGGGGATCGTCACTCAAAAGCATGGGCTAGCAATGCTCAGTTCCCTGTCCCACCTGACCACTTCTGCCTCTGGGTTTCCTTTCCAGATCTCGGGGGACATGGCTGTGGACGTAACTGAATACCATCTTAGCGGTGAGTTAGACCAATAAGAACACTCCACACGTGCCGGTGAGTTAGACCAATTAAGAACGCTCTACATGCGCCCGGCACTCAATGGCTGCTCAGAGCATGGGCACACTCAGCCATGTGGTCAGTAGAGTGGAAGCTCTGGGAGGGCAGGGATGGTATCCTTCATAGCTCTGTCTCTCCCATGTCTAGCACTTTCCCTCAATAAAGGTTTGGTGAAACGCACTGACTCGACCCTCACAACACCTGTCTATGGGAGTGGGGCTGACTGCAGGCCCAAGGGGAGGAGGCATGGTTGGCCCAAAATCATCCAGTGGGCTGAAATGAGCAGCAGCCAGGCCTCTGGACTCAGCCCCGGGGCTCTGCTCTGGTTGGACAATTTTTCTGATTCACTAAACTTATTTTTTCCCTGGGAGGCTCCCGTTCTGAATACTCCTGATCCTCCCTACCTCCCCCACGAAGCATTTCTTTGTCCCTAGCCCACATACGAGACCCAGGTTTCCAGTCCCTGCTTACACACAGCCTCCTCGGGGTGGGGTCTGTGCCATCACCCTCAGCCGTCCCCTTGGCTGGGGAAGGTGCTGGGAAGGCAGCTGAATCATCTCCAGCTCTGAGTCACGGAGCTCCCTGATCGGTCCTCCGGCTGCCTACCACTTCCTCCTACCTACACTCAGGAGCAGAGCTGAGGGAGATGGGGAGGGCCCATCTCCCTGCCAGTCTTTTCTGGGGACGGGGTGTTGGGGGGGAATGATGACAAGACAGGTGTGGGAGCACCCCTCCCCCTTGACTGCTGAGGACCAATCCTCTCCATCTGGGTCACCAGCTACTGTTCTTCAGCCTTCATGGGTGGAGCCTTCTGCACCTTGGCCTTAGGGGGACTGGAGGGAGGGGGGGTGCTGTCTGTCCACTGAACCTCCTCACCTGCTTGGGAGGGGCTTGAGGGGGGTGGGGGTGTGGGGGGGTTGGGTTTTTTTGACCCATCCTGACCCAGGAAGAGCTCACATCTCCATAGTTCTTGATGGTTGGCTTTCTTTACAGCAGCTCCCTAAGTGGGGCAGGGTAAGTATTTTTATCCTTATTTTATAGATGGGAAAACTGGGACCCAGAGAGGTGATGCAGTCTCCTTCAGGTCACATGGCTAACTAGAGGAGGAACCTCAGAGATCTAGGAAGATGTAGGCTCCTTGAGGGAAGATTTTTGGGATTTTTGTCTTTGGAACCCACTGCCCAGCACAAACCAAGCACTTCATAAATGCTTGCTTGTTTGTGGACTGACTGAATGATTACCTAGTCCAAACCCTACTGAGAAGATTCTAAGTTGAAATCATGACAAATAGGTATCTACCTTTCACTTAAAGACCCCCAATCGGGGGGGACACACTAGGCTATCTGGGACAACTCTAGTTATCAGAAAGCTCGTCTTGCTCTCTGGCCCCGATGGCCTCTTGGCCCCTCCCCCACATCGCTCTTGGTTCTGCCTGCCGGGGCCATTGTGTTTTCTGTTTGTCAGCTGGAGAGAGAACTCCCAGAAGGCTCTGCTGACCCTCTTGAGTCTTCTAACCAGGCTAAATATAGCTGTTGCTTCCAATGATCCTGTGACATGAGTCAAACCTAGCACAACACATGTTCTAGGACCATGCCCCTCTTAATACAGCCCAAAATTACTTTAACTTTTCTGGCACCACATTACGCTGAAGACTCCTCTGGAGCTTGCAAGCTTCTAAAGCCTCCACATTTCTTTTTTCAAATGACTGCTTCCAAGAGGTAACAGGGTCCTTGCTCACAAGGGTTTTTAAGCAAAGGTAGGTGGACACCTGTTTGGGGTGTCTTTGTGGAGACTTATTTTAGGGTACGGATGCTGAGGTTCTTTTCAAATCTGAAATTCTGTGATTTGGTCTAACCTCACCCCTGCTCTTCCCATCTCATCCTAGTGAAATTGATTTTTTGAACCCCAGTGTTGATCTTGACATTTATCCCTAAGACATTTCATTTTATCTGACTCAGCCCCATGCTCTAGCTGGTCATAATTTTTTTTTTTTTGGATTCCAGACTCTACCACTGAGTATGATGACTCTTCTAGCTTTGTGTCATCTGCAATTTTGATAAACATGTCTTTATCCAAATATGGGAAACAGCCCAGGCCAAGCACAGATCCCTAGAGGCAGACAACGAACTGTTCCCAGCTGTTCAGACTCTGTTCCTGTCTACCCCTCACCTCTCCATCATTTTCACAAGAGTAGTAGGAGATACTGTATTGAATGCTTTGCTAAAATGTAGGTAAACTCTGATTCAGTAGTTTAGTAGCCCTGTCAGAAAAGGAAATACAGCAAACCTGATAGAACCTAATCTTGATGGAACCGTCTCCTTTGCTAGATGGGACACGAGCCCTGCCTTTAGAATTTTCCAATGAAGCACAGTCAAGCTCACTGGCCTCCTGACGTACTCTCTCTCTTCTTCCTTCTTCCCCAGTCCTGCAGTATCTGCCCTGTCCTCCAAGATTTTAATATGTCACTGATGGCAGCTCAGCAGTCACCTGCTGGCTTTCAGGGTTGTGAGGAAAGCGCTTTGTAAACCTTGAAGCATGAATCCATCTTTGGGATCTGTGATTTCATTGCCGGATGTCTCCTCCAACAATGCAGAAGGCAACTCATCTCTCATCTCCCTACCCTGTGCAGCTCTTGTCCGTGTTACCCTTTTAAGTCCACTCAACATGCTGGGGACCTTCCTTGCTTTCTCATGATATCACGAGGACACCAGTGGGGTACACAGGCTGATCCTCTGTGATCCCTCTTCTCTTGCCATGTAACCAGGCTGCGTCTTCTTTTTGCATCACAATTCTCCTTGATGACATCCCTTCTTCCTGTTTTTCTTTGAAGTTCCTTAAAGGTCAGATGCTACAGCCTGGTTACAACCACCATGCACCTCTCCATGGCCCTCTGAGTGGTCCTCATTTTTAATTTTTTTAAAGGCTGTAGAGTTCTGTGACTCACAGCCATATAACACCAGTGGAATATTGGTCATTAGAAAGATAGGCCTTTGTCCCAGGGAGAAGTTTGGGGCCATTAAGGGAGCTTTGCAATTTCCCAAAAACAATCCAGCCTGCTCTCCTCATATTTAATTCTGGGTCAAACTCACCATCCATTTGTAGTATTTATCTAAGATTCTATCCCTATCTATATATAGTGTATATGTATGTATATCTGTATGTATGTGTGTGTGTATATATATATATCTATTTTGATGGACAAGCTCTATAGTTTATCTAATTGCAAGCCATAGTCAGAATTACAGGCATTCTTCATCCACTTGGTTAGTCTTGCGTAGATGCTCAGGCCAGACTCCTTAAGTGGTCACAGATCTCGTTCAAGAGGCTCTGCAATGTTCTAGGGTTTGATGCTATCACAATGTCATATTTAAAAAGAAGCACGTGGGGGACCTTGCCTTCAATAAAGAAGACCTCTTCAGCCTCCATCACAGTGGCAAACACTTTTTTACTAAGCGTATATCTCTGTTTTGTGCCTTGCCTGACACTGATTCCCGAGGGGTCAAACAAGGTTGTCCTGTTACTATATCTTTCTAGGGATCTTAAATCATTTTGATGTATGGATAGGAGACAGGCTGTTGAAAGATAACTGTTAAGGTAATTACCAAATGAAGTGCTTTTTTTTTTTTAAAGAATTGAATAATAAGCACAATGGGATCTCATATTCTTGGTATCTTTCAGTCAATTGAATAATGGTAAAGATACTCCTTTGCTTGCAAAATGCTGTCTGTTCTTTACTAATTAATGTCCCTTAAAATTAAGGATGCCCTGGATGCATGTGTGGACTATTCTCATTCAGAGATGGGAAAATAGACATATTGGTTGGTAGGTATTGATATTCTCCAGGTTGCATTTTTTTAAAGGTACTAATAGGGTCTGAGACTTTTTTCCCCCACGCTTTGATATTTCTTCCTTCAGATGCCTTGTGAATGCCACTCCCCTCCCCACATACAATTGTGTTGCCTCCAGCAAATATCTCATCCGGGTACATCTGGTCAAGGCTAACTGCTATTTGGGTCTTTTTGCTATGGTAAAATATATTGGTTAAACTTCTACATGAAATGATTGTAATCATTATTTTCTTCTGTCCATTTTTTTTTGTCTTCAATAACTTGTTTGCATAGGTCAGTATTTCTTATATTTTTCTAATTTTTCTTCTTTTTTTTTTAGTTTGGCACTCATTTTGACTTTTGCCCATACAAGTTGGCAGTTGATGGTATCCACACAGCTGATTCAGGAACGACTCCCACATTGGTGTCCAGTCTGTTAAAATATAATCATTTTGGGTAATATTACTTGATGCTCACCATGCCCAGCACCTTCTGATTCTTTTCTTGAAGAAAGAGTTGACAACGTACACAGGTGAAGCATCTGTGTAGTCCACAAGTCCAATATGGCCCATCTCATTACTTATGCCTCATTCATATATTCCAACATATTTTTCACTGTCCTCACCCATTCCTACCTTTGCATTGAAGTGAATGAGCATCGTACACATTATGATCATTTAATTTGGAGGGGTCTATTGAGTTCTGGGTAATTTTTTTCCACCTCTTCATCCTCTGTAGTGGATGTTGGTACATCAGTGGCAATTGTTTTCATGGTGGGCTTCTTGTAAATTCTTATCATGGGCACTTGCACACAAGATAACTGAGCGTCCCCTGGGTAGATGAAATGACATTGCTGGTGGCCTCTGCCCAAACCACATTTGCCAGCTTCTTTCTCTGCCTCTCTAAGGAATACCTGTGAGCTGTCCTTTTTGTTTTCATTGCATTTACATCAAGAATGTCAAGATTGATATGGTTCAGTCTTACTAATGTGTCAACTTGTTGATCACTAGACAAGGACCTCACGTTTACAGCACCAACACCTAAGTTTGAGTTTATGGATGATTGAACAAACACAATTCTTAGCACTTGGACAAATAGCTCACGTTCACAGCACCAACAGCTAGGTGAAAGTTTATGGATGGTTGAAAACGTGCAGATCTTCCTTGCATTCTCCATCTTTTTTTTTTGTTTGTTTGTTTGTTTACCGCTCATTTGGACATCGTCTCTGTAGACTAAGAAGGGACTGCACAGGGCTGAGGGCCGTTCTTCTTTGCTTCCAGGTTGCTGTGGCCAAAATTCCATCACCTGGTGGCCAGTCTGCTGGTGATGGGCCTCTCCGCACTTAGCTAGGCTAGTCCTCAGAACACAGACTTAGTCTGTTCCCGGGACCATACTTGAAGTCTTTCCAGCATGGTAGGACCTGCCAGAGCTTCTGCTCGGCTGGCATAGCCTTCAAGAACCCAGGGTCACCTCCACGCCACGATGAGGCACCGGAGTAGGACTTTGTGGAGGAAAGCTCAGATCTATGAGTTTTTAGTGATGTGACACAGTGGAAATTGGCACCACTGACCTCAGGATTGATGAACTTAAGAGTTATAGGACCTGAGTTCAAATCCTGGCTCTAATACTCAAGGCCCATGCAACTTGCCTCGGGCAAATCACCTAATACCTCTGTGCCCCACTTGCTTCATCTCTAGAATGAGGGTATTGGACTAGATGGCCTCTAGGATCCTTTCCAACTCTGAATCTATAATCCTAGGGGTGATGTGGCTTCAGGTCATTTCCTTTTTTTAGACTGCCATTTCAACTGATTCATGGAAAACTTGCAGACCACTAAAACCTTCAGATCTTCTGTTCTTCTTAGGCCTGCCCCACCTTGTACTTGTGAAGGAATTCTTTTGAATGGAGATGTAACTCTGGTTTCATCTTAGACTTGGCCCAACTTTTAAGGCCGTTGAGATACTTCTGGATCCCAATTTTGTCATCCACTTTGTGGATGCTTCCACTTTGTGTTGATTATATACTTTATGATGCTATAACTTTAAATTCAGTTAAACCGTTGAACAGCCCAGGGCCAAGCACAGAGCCCTGGGACACTCCACTGAAGACCTTCACTCAAGGTGGGCTTGATGCATTGATGACTACTATTCTTTGTGTCCAGTCAACCAGTTTGGAACCTTCATAACAGTGCTCCTAACTAGTCTACATATCTCCCAACCTGTCTGCAAGAATCAGTTGGGGAAGCCACTTTACCTCTTTCTCAGCCTCAGTTTTCCCATGTGTAAAACACTAAACTTATACTCTAGAGCAACAGTATTCCATGGTATAGCAGTACTGTCAACGTAAGGAATGAGATTCATCTCGTTCTTGACCCTCTTCTTTCTTGATCAGGCCATGTGGGCTGTTTGTGGCCGCTGATTCCTTTTTGAGACATTTACCCATTACCTCCTTTAGTCTTTGCTCCAGAATTACACCAGGAATTCTAGCCAACCTCTATGTCCTGGAGCTTGTAAACCTGACCTTCTCCTCTTCTGACAATGGGGGTAGCAGTTGCCATTTATGTTCTGTAGCCCCTCTCCTACTTACCTTCTCTGGGCTGGAAAGAAATTCAGAGGCACCAAGTCCAACCCTCACAAGAATCCTGTCCACAACATCCCTGCTTAGGGGCCATCAGTCTCTTCTTAAAGACTTCAATAAGGGAGAGCTCCCTCCTTCCCAAAGCAACCCCCATTCCACTTTTGGAGTGTTTTGTTTTGGTCTCTTGACAACTTCCCAACTCCACCACTCCTATTACTGCTCTCCCTTCAGATGCTTGAATGCCCCAATTTTTTCTCATCCAAACTAATCTTTCTTCTCAGTTCCTTCCATTGACTCTCATGGTATTTGCTCAATTTGAATGAATCAAATGTGGCATGACCTTGAGACCTCAGACCAATTTCATCAGGCTCCCTGAATCTACTCCCTAAAATGAGATCTGAGCAGGGCAGACTCCTGGAAGATATTTCTCTGAACACAGGATAAGACATTCCACCATCTTGCAGAGACCACAGGCAGGGAGTAACTGCTTATCACCACCTCTTCTGCCAGATGTTTCAGTACTCTCTGGGCTGGGGCACTTGATTTCAGGAAGGATCACATTGGGTCATGTCCAATTCCACAATATTTCTCTCCTCTGTCCATGCCCCCTCCTCTCCACTCATATAACCACCATTCTGGTTCAGGCCCTCATCACCTTTCATCTTTTGCCTCCCAATTGGTTTCCCTGCCTCAAGCCCCTCCCTGCTCCAATTTATCCTCCCTCCAGCTGCCAAAATGAATTTTCTGAAGAGCAGGCCTGCAGACACTACCCTTTTACTCAGTAAACCTGGCTCCCTATTGCCTCCAGAAACTTTTCCAACTTGGCCTCTTTTGGCCTTTCTAGTCTTCTTACACAATGCTCCCTTCTGCACACTTGTGATCTAGCTGTTGCACATACAGGTTGGACTATCTCCCACCCTTGTGTCTTCGCCTTGGCTCTTCCCCATGCCTGGAAAGCTCTCCATCATGCTCCCCCTTCTGGAGTCTCAGCTCAAGCATTCACTTCTCCATGAAGCCTTTCCTGGGCTCTTGGAGCTGCTAGAGCATTCCCTCCTCTAGAAGCTTGAATTTATTGGATACATATTTATGCATGTACATATTGGGTCCCCCGTTGGAATGGAAGCTCCCTGAGGGCAGGGCCCATTTCACTCTTTTCATTCTAAAACCAGCACTGGGCACAGGGCCTGTCCCTGAGTAGGGGCTTCAGAAATGCTTACTGATTAGCCAAAACAGTAAGTTGCTTTCTTATTACACCCCTTCTTATCTTGGGTTTCCCTTCCCTCTCAAGCATTTTTTACTTTGCCTCAGCAGAAGCAAGATAAAAGTTTGAGTAATTCTGCCTTCTCTCTAGCTGAGGCTGGTGCCTTCCTCTTCCTCCCTCTTGGTGGCTGGCCTTAGCTCTGTCCTTGGCTTTAGCTCTTTCTGAGATGGCCCTCTTGGTGTGTTTCTAGCAAGGACAGATTAGGCATGGTTTGGTATTCTGTGCCTCTACAGAGGTCTCTCTCCTCTGGGTCAGAATCCTTCTCTTTGAGTCTCCAGGATATTCTTGAGCTTCTGGTCCCTCCTGGAAGTTTTGGGGGTCATGGGATCCTGGGAAGATCCCCAGCCTTCCCCTGAACTGTCTGAAATCTACTCCTCCTGATCTCAGCCACCTTGGCCCTCTCTCCCCCGCAGTGCCCTGAGAAGCTTCAGCTGGGGGCCTTTTGGACAGGTCTAGTGGACACTTGTACAGCCACATCCACGTTTGGGGCAGAACTCTCTCATCTCCTCACTGTGCCTAGAGACTGCTCCCACGCCCAACTTGTCCCCAGGCTGCTGAGGCCTTCAATTCTTGGTAGGCTAGGATTGGGATAATTGGGATAGTGTTTTTCCGTCCTTGTCAGATCTTTAGAATATGAGATTGTCTTTCTTCACCTAATTCTCACCTTCCACTGTTCCACCAGCTGCAAGGAAGAAGGCACAAAAGGGCAATAAAGTTGGTGAAGTAAGGTGAGATCAGATTTTGATGTGACTCAGAGGCTTAGGCAAATACAGGAAGTCTGATCTGTCTGGTCTGGGGGGGGGGCTCCCAAAACACCTGCGTGCATGAATGTGTATCCCCCATTAGAATGTGAGCTTGGACCATGTGATTAATGCTTTCTGATGGGCGGGCACCCCAGGGTTCTACTAACAGCAACTGCCTGGTTCTTTCCCAGTTATTAAGAGTCCTCCTGGCTGGGAGATTGGGATCTACGTCACCGGGGCCCTCGCCTTGCTGGGGGTTGCTGCTGTGAACCTCTGGAAGCTCTGCAAATCGGGCAGCTTCCCCATCCCATCTCCATTCCCAAACTACGACTACCGGTACCTGCAGAAGAAGTACGGTGTAACCTACTTGGAAGCTAGGCAGAAGGTGAGGGCGGGGACAGCCTCCCTGGGGGTGGGGAGAAGCCTGGAGAGGCCCAGCCTCTGTGTCAAGGTCAGTCCCACATTCTGGGACAGTAGGCACTCATGCTCTTGGTGGGACTCCACAAAGGTCTCCTTGCCCCTAAATCTCTCTGCCCTAACCTTACCTGAGGCGACACCATTAGCTCCTTTGAGTGAGGCAGCAGAAAGCACCTGCTTTGACCATGAAGACTGATTTGATTTGTGAATATTCAATGCTGACAGCTCTGGGGAGGTTGGGCAGCAAGCTCAGGAGCCTCCTCCTTTGAGGAACGTCTCCCTGCCTCGGTTTATCCCCACTCCACTCCCCGCTCCCATTCAGCTGCCAAAGTGTCCTCCTGTGCTCGGGGAGCCCCAGCATCGCCCTTCGGCCTCCCTCGTTTGGCCCCAAGCCCTTCTGCCACAGCCGGGCCCTGTTCTAGCTGCCGGCTGGCCTCTTCCTTTTTCCCGCCCTTTCTCGCCCTCTATATGCCCTAGGATCCTATGTGCCCTACATGTGGCCTACCTGGGGCTCCCCCTCAGAACCCCCTCCATCTCCTGCCCCTGTGTTTTTGCACAGGCTGTTCTGCCCCATGGGATGCTCTGTCTCCTTGCCTCACCTCTGGGTGTCCCTAGCTACCTTTGCGATTCAGCTCAAATAGTGCCTCCTGCAGGAGGCCTTTCCTGGTCCTCTCCCCACCACCAGCTGCTAGGACCCTCCCTCTAAAGCTGTCTTAGATGCACTCACTTAGTTACATGCTACTCCCTGATTAGAATGTAAGCTCCTTGAGGGCAGGGGCTGCTTTTTGGCAGAGCTGGGGTTCCAAGCAGCATTTGCTCATTTGTTTGGTGACTGATCTGACCCCACTCCCAGAAGGCAGGCTTTGTCCCTCCCCCCTCCCTGGCCCCCCAGGTCTTATCTCCTCTGGGGCCTAGCACAGGGCTGGGCATATAGGAGGTGCTTAATAAATGCTTGCCAGATTGAATTGGGCAATCACTCCCTGGCTTTGGGCTCTGCTTCCTTCCCTCTTCTTCCCTCCACGTGATGGGTGTCCTTTCCCTTCGGTCCTCAGAGAACTATGGCCTGCAGCAGCCAGAAGGCCGACGAGCAGGGGTCTCCCAGCCGCAAGGGCAGCCTGAAGACGGATGATGCTTTTGAGAGCGTCAGTGAGCTGGGCCCCCTGGAGGTGACGAACCGGGAGATGGACCTCCCCCCCTACGGGACCCTCAAGAAGTCCCTGTCTGCAGATTCGATCAATTCCATCTCCTCTGTGAACAACAACTTCGGCCATGACTTTGTGCTGGGCCAGGTGGAGGTGACCATACAATACGAGCTGAGAAAGCGCATGCTGCGTGTGGTGGTGCTCCAGGGCAAGGACCTCCTGGAGAAGGAGGACCCTGCCTTCGACTCCTGCTTCCTGCGCATCAGCCTGGTGCCCGAGGAGCAGATCGTGGGCATCTCCCGGGTAAGTCTGCCTTCCTGGCATGAGGCGGGCAGCCTCTGGGCTCTGGGGAGGCTGGCATGGGGCAGCAGCAAGAGTCTGGGGTTTGAGTCCTAGGCCCTACCCTTAGCAGTGACCTGGGCTAAATATCTGCTCTGAGCCTGTGTTTTCATCAGTAAAATGGGGACAATCACAATCTTTGTACAACCTACCTCATGTGGTTGACGGGTGCCCGGGGGGATGGGCATGGATGGATTGCAATCTGCATCACTGGAGAGAACACACACACTGGGACATGTCCACTGGAGGAGTGGCCCCTCACAGGGCTCTGATGAGGGTCCCGTGAAAGAGTCTCCTGCCCACCTGAAAGGGCCACAGAAACGGCAGCTCCAGTAAGGATGGCCTGGGGGCAAAGAGGGTCAGGGCTGGGAAGGCCCTTAGAACAGAGAATGTCAGGGCTGGGAGGGCCCTGAGAACACAGAAAGTCACCTTGGAACATAGCATGTCAACTCTAGGAGGACCCTTAGAACAGAGAATGTCATCCTAGAACACAGAATGTCAGGGCTGGGAGGACCTTCAGAACACAGAATGTCATCCAAGAACACAGAATAGGCTGGGAAGACCTTCAGAACACAGAATGTCAGGGCTGGGAGGGCCCTGAGAACATAGAAAGTCACCTTAGAACATAGCATGTCAACTCTAGGAGGACCCTTAGAACAGAGAATGTCATCCTAGAACACAGAATGTCAGGGCTGGGAGGGCCTTCAGAACACAGAAAGTCATCCTAGAACACAGAATATCAAGGCTGGGAGGGCCCTTAGAACAGAGAATGTCAGGGCTGGGAGGACCTTCAGAACAGAGAATGTCAGGGCTGGAAGGGCCCTTAGAACACAGAATGTCAGGGCTGGGAGGGCCCTGAGAACATAGAAAGTCACCTTAGAACATAGCATGTCAACTCTAGGAGGACCCTTAGAACAGAGAATGTCATCCTAGAACACAGAATGTCAGGTCTGGGAGGACCTTTAGAACACAGAATTTCATCCTAGAACACAGACTGTCAGGGCTGGGAGGGCCCTGAGGAGATAGAAAGTCACTTTAGAACAAAGCATTTCAACTCTGGGAGGGCCCTTGGAACAGAGAATGTCATCCTAGAACACAGAATATCAGGGCTAGGGGGGCCCTGAAGACATAGAAAGTCACCTTAGAACATACCATAACAGAGCTGGGAGGGCTCTTAGAACACAGAATGTCACCTCGGAACACAGGTGTCAGAGGTGAGAGGGACCTTAGAACACAGAATGTCACTTTAGAACAGAGACTGTCAAGGCTGGGAGGACCGCTGAACATATAGTGTTGCCTTAACATAATGAGTGTCAGAGGTGGGAAGGACCTTAGAACAGAGAATGTTACCTTAGAACATATCATGTCAGGCTTGGGAGGGGCCTTAGAACACAAAATATCAGGGCTGTGAGAGCTCTTAGAACACACAATGTCACCTTCAAACCCAAGTGTTAAGAGGTGGGAAGGACCTTAGAACACAGAATGTCAGAACCAGGAGGGGATCTTAGAACACAAGACTGCAGGCTGTTAAGAGCTGGGAAGCACTGAAAACACAGAGTCTAGTATGTCAGGACTGAAAGGGACTGGAGCAGATCATCTGATCCGACCTCCTTAGTCTCTGGAGGAAGAAGCCAAGACCCTGAAAGGGAAATGAAGTTTGCCTAGGTGCAGGTTGGGGAGGATAGGACCCCCAAGGGATGGGCAGGGGGCAAGGAGGACATCCCACTGCCCCCGCCATTTTGCCCATGGAGGGTCCTGACCATCTCCCTCCTCCCCACTCATGTCCACAGGTGGCCGGCACCCCCCAGGGTCTCCCTAGGGGTAGGACTCTGGTCCCCTCCCCCACCCCGCCCGATCCCACAGGAAGGACCGGATGTCCCCTGACCCTTTCGGTCCCAGTCACTCCTCCTCGTGCGTGGTTTGGCACCAGTTCCAAAGACAGCTTCTGTGGCTCTGTGGCTCAGATCCAGGCCAGGGAAGGCCCCCCAGGAGGGAGCTGACATTGGCCTTGCAAATCTGAGCAGGGTGGGCACTGGCAGCCCCAGGGAGTGTGTGCGTGGTCGGCGTCCTCCTCTGCTGCGTGGTCCTGGCCCTAGGGACGGAGAGCAGAGACAGGCACAGGGCAGGCGCTACTACGCAGAGGCCCCTCGTTCAGTCAGCCAGCCAGAAGCCAGACCTCTTCTCAGCCCAGCGACTGCTGGCTGGGGGCCCAGGGCTGTGGGAAGAAAGGGTGAAGGACATTTTCCTCTGTCCAGGAGGCTCGCTGGCTACCTGAGGAGAAAGACCATGCCCAAAAGCGTAAGGAAAAGTACAGGTCAGCGTTAATTATGAAGTTCACATTTCCACAGCACAGATGAGGCAGATGAGGCTTTAGGAGGCAGAGACTCGGTGGCCAGCGCTGAGGAGAACGCGGTGGCCAGGCGTGTCCCAGAGCCCTCTGGACACCCCCGTGGGCGCTCTCCCTCTCCATGTTACCCGCAGATACTTCTTTCTGTACACATTTTAGATGGTGAGGCACAACACCTAGCACACAGTAGGAGTTTAAACATTAAACAGTCCAGCCTTCACCCAGAAGCTTATGATCTCGTGGGAATGCAGTGGGGGGCGCACCACAGTGTCCAGAGCGCTAGGCCTGGAGCCAGGAAGCCCTGAGTTCAAATCCAGCCCCAGACAGTGACTAGTGGTGTGAGGCTGGGCAAATCACTTCCCCTCAGTTTCCCTAACTATAAGATGTAGATAATAATAGCACCACACAGGGGCGTTGTGAAGATGAGATAATATTCGTAAAGCACACAGCACAGTGCCTGGCACGTGGCAAGTGCTACATAAATGCTAGTTATTCTTATTATAGGAAAGTAGAATTACAAGTTGAATATGGTCAGGACCAAGGAGAGGTCCTGTCAGTGCTGTGAGTGATGAATCTGAGGAGGGCAGGCTCACTCTGAGCTATGGGAGAATCAGGGAGAGATGATAAAAAATGAGCGTGGGGCTCAGGAGCATCGCCAGGCAGAGGTTACCCCAGGCGTCAGCAAGGGGAAGAAAATAGAGTCCCACCACTGGAAGCCAGGGCACTTGAGAAGGAGTGATGTCGGTCTTAGGGCTGGAAGGGAGGAAACTGAGGCCCCAGAGAAGTTATGGGACTGGCCAAAGGTCACCCAGCTCAGCCTTAAGTAGGAGAGAACCAGGGTTTTGATTCCCGCCCAAATGCTAGGCTATCTGATGAATCATTAGACTGTGAACTTCTTCAGGGAAAGGGCTGTTTGTGTCTCTTTAACATTGCTAGCACTTTGCAGAAGGTGCTGAATACATGCTTTCTGACATGAGCGCCTGTCAGAGGACTGCCAGACACCAGCAGGGCACATGCCCTCATTTCCTTTTTGAATGCTGTCTAGACTCATAGACTAAGGCAACTCACAGGGACAGCTCAGCCAGATTTCAAGTCTCTGATGCTCTTCTGGCAGACAGGAAGGGAGGTGAGGACAGAGCAGCAGGGGGTGGGGATTGGGAATGGGAACGAAAGAAGGTCAATGGGGCCCATCAGTCCCTCCTGGGCGTCAGGACTGGGTGGAGGCCTCCAAGGCCCTTTCCAGCTGGTGAACAGGTCCCCAGGGGAGTGCCCAAGGGATCGGACCTTGGGGCCAGTCCGCTGAACGGTTTACTGGATCACCTAGATGACCCCAAAGTTTTCAGATGCCCTTCGCTGGAGGGGCTGGCTGACAATGGTCCTAGGAGGGGATCAGGAGGAGGAAGGGGAGGCCCAGGAAGCTCCTTGATCTTGGGTGGGCCAAGAAAGAAGCCACGTGTGGCACAGGGATAGGGGAGACTCAGCCTCAGAGGCCAGCTCCAGCCCTTTCTGGCCACGGCACCACCAGGGTCAAGCCCCTTCCCTTCTCATTTTTCTCAGTTTCTATAGACACGTGTGCAAATATGTACTTACCTGGTATCCTGCGATGGCTTCCATTGAGAAGGGGAGGGGAAGGAGAAGGTCGCTTCGTGTTCACCCACCAAGTTCTGCTTCACAGAGAGAGGCTGTAAGGGAGGAAGACAGAGCAGCTGAGACACCCAGAGATTCCCAGAAGGAAGTTCCAAGAGGGTAGCCAGCAGCGAAAGGCATAGCCCAGGCTAGTTATGCACAAGGAATGGGTCTAGAGCCAGGAGGGGCAGCGAAGCTGGCCTCATACGTGTGTGTTGCTGAGACCCGCCACCGGAATATGGGACTGGGCGTACAACAGTACTGGGAGGTGGTCATTGTGGACTCCTAGGAGGAAGTCCAGGGATCCTAGAAAGTAAGCTCCCTGAGGACAGGGGCTTTGGGATTTGTCCTCAGCTGTGCGCGGCACATAGCAGGTGCTGTCATTTCTTGTTTAATTGAATGAAATCAAAGCAGAGGGAGGAAATAAGGTGTTTAAAGTTAACTGTCTAGGCTAAAGGTCCCTCCACATTGCCTTTGCTACTCTGCCCAATTTCAGCTCCAAGGAACAAGATGCCCCGGGGCCAAGCGCCCTTTGGTGTTCTCTTCCATCCTTTTGTGTGTTGTTTCCCCTTCAGACTGTAAGCTTCTTGAGGGCAGGGGCTGCCTAGAACGTGTTGTTGTTGTTGTAAGGCAGCTAGGTGGTGCTGTAGTGGAAAGAGTTATCAGACCTGGAACCCAAAAGACTCATCTTCCTGAGTTCAAATCTAGTCTCAAGACTTCCCAGCTGTGTGACCTTGGGCAAGTCACTTCCCCCTGTTTGCCTCAGTTCCTCATCTATAAAATGATCTGGAGAAGGAAATGGCAAATCACTCCAGGATCTTTACCAAGAAAATCCCCAGTATTCAGCACAGTGCCTGGCACATAGCAGGTATTTAATAATTCATTAATAGTTCATTGGATTGGAAGATCAGTGGAGTCAGATATAGGAGTGATTATGTCATTGGAGTAGACTGTGGACTGCCTGGCTGGAGGGAGGAATAAGATGATGTATTCAGGGATCAGATGATAAATCTGAGACAGTCAGGCTACAGTTGCGATAGGCCAATCAATATTGTGGGGGAAGGGCTGCCATTGTCTGGATTTCTGCCCCAAACAGAGAAGCTAATAATTTTATGGTTTGGCTTCATGATAATTTCATCCTTCAAAAGCAGAAAAACCAACCAGGGAATTCTGGATCTGATTTCAGAGAAGTTGCTAGGATGAAAAGGCTTAGAACAAGCCTTGAGGGAAAATGACCCCTTCCTCCCAGCTGAGTCAGAAGAGAGGAAAATGGAGCAAAGTTTGACAGGTACCCGGGTTCAGGGACAGGCTCAGAGGAAGGATAGGTAGGACCCCATGGCCAGTTCTTTACAGAGGAAGTCACGCCAGGAAGGAGGGAAGATTCTCTTCTCGAGACACTACAAGAAAATTCTAATGAGAAAGAAAGAGGGTGTTGTCTGAAGAGACTGGTGTGGATGCACAGGAGGCTCTCTAAAAGTGTGTCCAAAAGAGGGAAGCCAGAGCAGAGGGTGAAAGTCTAAGTGTGGCCCAGGAACAAAGGCTCTGGATGAACAGAGGATGGCCAGCAAAGTCCAAACACGAAGGAGAAGTTAGTAAAGCTCTCTTGGAGAGAAGAGGAGACCCAACAAAGCAAGAGGACTGCAGCTCACAATAGAGAGGAACTGCGCTTAACAAAACGCTTTTCATTCATTCATTCATTCCTTCCTTCATTCCTTCCATTCTATCTGAGTCAAACTGGATGAGGCTGAGACAGCCGAAGGGAATCCCATGATCTGGGTCTGCATGGAGCTCGACCTAGTTGTCAACGTGTCCCTTGTCCTCATGGGACGGCCTGGGTGACAGCCATCAGCTGCAGAGTGTCCAGAAGAGGCAGCCTGGATGGGGAAGGGCTGGGAGGTGAGAAGACTCAGGGCAGACATCATGTCCACTCTGTGGGCTGTCTCCAAGCATCAGAAGAGCTGGGTGTGGAGACAGATTTGCCTTGTTCAGCTTGGCTCCAAAAGACAAGACTCAGGGCGAGGTGGGGGGAAGTAATTTTTGACTCTCACCAAGCTCTAGCTGAAACTTAGCATTTCCTCCAATTATTCAAAGACCTTCTTCCAAGAAGGGGTCCAGAACACAAGAGAGGTGAAGAAGCCCTGGTCTAGTCCTAGCAGAGTGGGCTGGCCACCATTCATCACCATGGTCCCACCTGAGGTTGTCTTGTACAGGGGCTGGGATAGCTGGGAACAGAGAGCAGGAGGGAAGGAGCTAATAAAGACTGGCCTCCATGCCCTTGCAGGGGGACCACAACAACTGCATCTATGTAACACTTTGCAATTCACCCTGCAATGGGGAAAGGTGTGGACATGTCAAAAATCTTCAACAGCTCCCTACAGCCGGCAGCGGAGGAATGTCCAAAGGGCAGTTCCTGGCAATCAAGGCTCTCCTGATTTCTGTTAAGATCATCACCACCATCTATCTATCTATCTATCCATCCATCCATCCATCCAGCGACCTCTTTGCCACCTTGCAGTCAACCCTGACTCTTCTCTCTCCCTCGCCCTTTATATCCAATCAGTCAGTCCACCCTCCGTATCTCTCGTCCACCGTCTATTCTCCATTGGCATCACAGCCACCCTCGTTCAAGCCCCCTCAACTCTGGTCTTCTCTGAACTCTGAATCCCCCCAGACCCTAGCACAGTGCTCTGCACACCCCTCCCAGCCTCTTCTGGGTGGGTGGTGTGATTATGATGAAAGACACTGACAAAGGCATCAGGTGTATTGAGGAAGCAGAATCTAACTAAAAGTAGGGAGCACAGGATTTAGCTCCTGAAGGGACCTTGTTTTTTTGCAGGTCAAGGCAGTCACCAAGCCTGAGTGAAGCACCTCCTATGTGCCAAGCTAAGGGCAGGATCTGACCTGAGAGAGATCATTCAATCTAACTCTTTTGTTTTGCAGCCTTTTTTTTTTTTCATTTTACCGAGCTTCTGGAAGAATAGTTTTATTTCCCTGGTGGTTTGCCTTGCCATTCCCTCACCTCTTCTCAGACAGGCTAGCCTTCCCCTGGCCACCAATCCCCTTCCTATTAGAATGTCAGGTCCTGGGGCAGGGGCAGTTCTGCTTTTGTATTGGTGCCAGGGCAGCTCCAAACCAGACCCTCAGCCTGCCATCCAGGATAACTGCTTCTCCCTACTCATCTGAGAAGCAACATGGTGTAAGCTTCCTACCATGGCAAGGCCCTTCAGTGCCCAGGGTCCCAAGTCCTCCTGTATGAGGAGGGGATGGGACTGGATCTCGATCCTACGACCTGTGCTTCTATTACCCAGTGAGTATTGGGCTTGGAGTTAGGGAGACCCAAGTTCAAATTCTACCTCTGACCCCTAGCCAACACAGAGCCCTACTTGAGTCACTAACACCTCAGAGTGTTGGTTTCTTCATCTGTAAAATGGGACTCCCAGGGCTGTGCCGGAGCTCACTTCTGCTTTCCTCCTGCCTCTCTGCAGATCCAGCGAACAGCATACTCCATTTTCTTTGATGAGAGGTTTTCCATCATGGTGGACCCCTGCATTCTGGAGGACAGCAGCTTGCGCTTTTCTGTCTATGGCATTGATGATGACGACCGCAATGTCATGACTGGCTCGGTTGACTTGAAGCTGTCTGTCCTCGAGCTGACCCAGCAGCCCTTCTGTGGCTGGCTCTACCTGCAGGATGTGAACAAGGTGAGAGGCTTTCCGATGGGCAGGCACTCCTGGGCCTCGGCGATGAGGGGGGTGAAGGTGGGTGCCCAACGGCCCAAGAACTGGGAACCTGAGTGCCCAGAATTAGTTTCCTCCCAGAGCTTCAAGGCTCAGCCTGGAAGAGCTACCTCCCAGATCATCCCCCACCATCCACAGAAGCCTGGGCGAGAGGGGGGGGCCCAAAATTTTGAAGCCATTGAGGAAGAAAGGGCCTATTTACAACACGTGAAATGCTGCTTTTTGCAGCCGGGTGACCCGCAGTTAGAGAACTGACTTCCAAAACCCGCTCCCAAATGCTCCTGAGCCGAGTGACCCCGGGCAAGTCAAATCACCTCGCTCAGACCCAGTCTCCTCATCAGTAAACAGGATAATAACAGCACCTCCTTCCCAGGGTTGCGAGGACCCAATGAATGCTCTGAAAGCCTCTATCAGCACCAGCTCTTCCTATCTACTCTCTAAAAGCAGACCACTAGACCTCTCTGTTGGTTAGCTGACATCACTGGCTAGAATCCTAAGTAATCAGACTGTGCTTCCTTAAGAACACACCTTGCCTCATTCATTCACCCAGGCTTTCCCCACCCTTGTCTGAGCCAGGCAGGATGCTGGGCTCTGGCTGCATATACTAGGCCCTGTGGGGCAAGCCCCACCTGAGGGCTGCCTGGAATGGGATCTCCTAGAGTGAAGCTCTGCACGGCCTTTGAAGATGAAGCCTGCCAGGCCCATTAGGATGCTCTGTGTGTTTGTTTCCAGGCTGACGATGTGGTGGGCGAAATCCTGCTCTCTCTCAGCTACCTGCCCACTGCGGAGCGACTCACTGTGGTGGTGGTGAAGGCCAAGAACCTCATCTGGACCAACGAGAAGGCGACCGCTGGTGAGTGCTTGGCTGCCCAAGGCAAAGCCTCCGCGTCAGGGGGAAGGCAGCAGCCTGCCTGGTCCTATCGAAGCAAAGGGTTAAGAGTCCACCTCTTTGGGGGCCAAAATGTAACAGTCTACTCAGAGGGTGGGCTAGGCAGCGGCCAGGCAGGGAAGGAGGCCCAATGCATTCACGCCACCTCCTGACCATCGAGGCTCTGTTCCTTGCTAAAGGGACAGGTTTCCTTAAGCAGCTGATGGAGGTTTCTTGAGTGACAAGAGCAGAGAGTGAAGTCACAGCTCTTAACAGCCCTGAACTTCACCCATTCCAGAGCAGCGGGGCTGGGCTGACCAACAGAGCCAAGTTGATTGCCTGACTGTTGGGTTTCCAAAGGGCTCTTTAGCTTCAGGAGGCACTTGGGGGAGCCTTCCAGTCCAGGGCTCACCCCCGACAGATGAGTCCCCCTCTCCTCACCATGCCATCACTTTCTAATCGGTCTCCCATCCTCAACTCCAAGCTCTTCTCTGTAGTTACTGGAAGGATTTTCCTGAGGCTTAGGTCCAGACACCCCCAGCCTTAACCACCCATCATCAATGTCTGCCTCTAGGATAGAATAGGATAAAACTCCTCAGTCTGGGGTATTCTCAGCCCTCCACTGAGGGATGTTTCCAGTCTTCTTCCCTACTGCTCCGCTGCGGTCACACTGGCCTGCCTGGTTTTTAGGTGGCCGAGTGGGGAGGGGGCTGGACTTGGGCATCAGGAAGCCTTGGGTTCAAATCTAGCCGCAGACTCTTACTTTGCTGTGTGACCTGAGGCCAGTCAAGCCACCTGTTTGCCTCTAGTTTTATCTTGGGTAAAATGGGGATGATAACAGCCCCTTCCCGCCCCCGGAGTGGTTGTGAGGATCGCTGGAGATAGAAAAGCTGGTTATTATTATAAATTACAAAATAGCCAGCTGCCCTCCCAGCACAGCTGGGGTCCCCACTTATCAACGGCGGGGGCTGAGGCCTGACAAACGTTTCCTGACTGAACTGGGAAACTGAGGCTCTGGGAGGTTGCCGGGATGGAAAGCTGCAGGGCCCGGCCCGAGGCCGAGGGGCTCTGCCCCCGCTCTCTGCCTTCCATCACGGCTGGGTCCACAGAGAAGCACCTACTACGTGCGCAGGAGCTCCCTCCCCTTCCCAGCTTTGTCTCCAAGCAACCTACCTGGCGGCCCCAGCAAAGGGAGGGAGGGGGGAAGAGGAAGATGCAGCTGGAATCCATGGGTCTGCCGCTCATTGGCCGGCTGAGGGCCTGGAGACAGCGTCCCAGCCAATAGAAATCCAGGCTGCCTGACAGCCGAGCCGGCTGTGCTCCCCCGCCCCCAGGTATTTCTGCGGAGCCGCAGCTCCGCGGGGAGCCTGCGCTGATGGGGAGGGGGCGCTGCGGCCAGGGCACGGACGCCCTGGGGCGTCCGAGGGGCCCTCCCTGCCCCCTCCCCCGGGGGCAGTCACGGTTCTCTGGGTCGGCTACTCGTCCTTATCTCATCCCGCTCTGAGACACAGCCTGTCCTGCTGAAGGCTCCACTCCGAGTCTGGGAGACCTGGGTTCAAATCCAGCATCAGACAGGGCAAGCGACCTGGGTAAAGGCTGGGCATGGCCATCGGTGGTCCCACGGAGGTCTCCCAGTTGGGCCATCAGTCTGCCTCGCTGGCCATCGTTTGCTCCAAGGATAGCCAGGCAGAGCCTCAGGGTCGTCCTCCGGTCCCTGCGTCCCCTCCTTCCTGTCCGGCCAGGCGCTGAGTCCACCCCATTCCGCGTCGGGTCCCCTCCGGCACCGGGGTTCTGGGCTGCAGCGGTCCCTCGGCCCGCCTCCCGGCGGGTGCTGCCCCTTCCAATCCCTCCTCTCACGGCAGCCACGGTGACCTTCCTGAAGGCCAGGTCGGCCCCGTGCTGCCTCCGGCCTAAGATGCACGCTGAAAGCCCCCTGTGCAGGCGCGTCTCCCATCCCCGCCCCTCCCAAGGGCCACCCTCCTGCTTCCGACCTTCCTCTGCGAAGGCTGCTCCCCCTGCCTCGCCTGCCGGCACCCAGTGTGCATTCCTCCGCTGCCCTGGCCATCCGGCCAAAGTCCAAGGCAGAACCAACTCAGGGTTCGTCTTGGGGTTTCCAGCACATGGCGAGACGCTGGGCATCAGACAGGTGCTTTAATCAATGACCGTCCAACGGGGCTCTCAGGGAGGCTGGAGGCAGGGAAGTCCCTAGTGGTGTACACTGGCTGGTCCTAAGGGTTGGCATACAGGACTGGAACTGAGCAGGCTGCGTGACCTTGGCCAGGTCATTTTCCTTCTCTGCTGGTCACTTCCAAGAGGGAGTTGGGCTAGCTCAGGTCAGGTCCTTGCCTACTCAGCCAGCCTGGGAGTCCAGCCCTAGAAATCACTCACAGCTAGAGAGCTTTCAGTTTACCCCAAGCCCTCTGCATAACCGAGTAGATGAGCACAGGAAAGACTGATTTAAGAAGGCTATTTGTCAATTAGGAGCCCACTAAGTCAGGTATGGGAACTCAGCCGGCTGAGACTGCCTCAGGACTTGGAGGTGGCCACAAGCCAGGGCAGGGGAGGAGGAGAATGAATGAATGAATGAATGAATGAATGAATGAATGAATGAATGAAAGAATGAATGAAAACAAGTGGAGGCCTGTTCTGGTTGCCCGTGCTAGCTATTATCTGAAACTATCTTCCACCTATTCGGTATATATCTTGCAGGTAGCTGGTTTACATGGTGTTGCTCCCACTAGACTGTGAGCTCCTTGAGGGCAGGGCCTGTTTTTGCCTGGCCTTGCATCTCCAGAGCTCAGCACAGTGCCTGGCACACAGCAGGTGTTTTAAGAGATGCTTGTGGACTGAGTGACTGAATGATGGCAGGATGGTAATGCTGCTAATTGAGCCCACAGTAGAAGGCGGAAGGTGAAGGCAGCGCCCACGCCCCTGGTAGCAGGAGGTCACGGTGACGCTCCTGAGGACTAGAAGCACCAGAGAGGAACAACCCTGGGGAATCTGGCTGCTGGGGGCTTTGCTGGAGGGGCCGCTGGAGCCGCTGAGGTGAGGCGAGGGTAGCAGAGTGGAGAGGGAGCCGGCCTCGTGGCTTCCAGACTTGCCCAGGAGACCCCCAGGCCACCGGATAAGGCTACAAACAGCAGGAAAGGTGCCAGCTTATACTGGTAGAGGGAAACCTGCTGGAGCTCAAAGGGCAGCAGGGGGTGGGGCGGGAGGACCGGCCCTCAGACCAAGCGGGGAGCTGGCATCCTGGAAATGGAGGGCAAGGGGCGGCCACAGCAGGCGGGAGGGTGGAGGCCTCGCCTGGACTTTCTGCTGCTTCCCCACACAGACCCCTTTGTCAAGGTATACCTGCTGCAGGACGGGAAGAAGATAAGCAAGAAGAAGACGGGCGTGAAGAAGGACGACCCCAATCCCGTGTTCAACGAGGCCGTGATCTTCTCCGTCCCGGCCATCGTGCTCCAGGTGAGGGGTTGGGGCTGGGAGCACAGGGCCAGGAGGCCTCCACAGCGACTGAGCGGCTCATGCTGGGGCCTGCCCTCCTCACGCTTGCTGTCTACTGGCAGGAGCGAACACAAGCTAGGTCCATTGGGGAAGAGCAGAGAGAGGTATTGGGCGAGGCCCCTAACGATGAGGGGACTCGCACGATGACCATGTCAGAGGGCTAGCCTCCAGAAAGGTGATTTTTGTGGGGCTGTGAACTCCACAGGGCACTCCCTGGAGGTCTGCTCAGGGCCACCCTTACGTGGCTTTCTGATGCCCCTGGGACTGAGGGTCACCGTGAGGGAGAGAACTAGTCCAGGGCAGGTGTATGTTCTATGGCTAAGGGCCTAGACATTTCAGGCTTTCCCCCTGTTCGTTCCTGTCCCCACCCATGGCTTGGTAGGGTGGGAAGCTTCCTCCCTGCAGCCCACAGCCTTTCGGCCTTCCGTCCCTCTGTTCACTGGCCACTGGCAGGGTGTACCCTGTGGCTAACTCATCTCAGGCACCAGGGCAGAGCAGAGATGGGCCTTCCAAGCTGGAGCCTCAGCTTTCTTGGGGTTCCCGGATCTCTCTGTTTAGGCCTCTGCCCTCATGCCCAGGGCTCTGGCCTATTTCCCTACCTCCCCAGTTTGTCCTCCCGCCCCACTGAGAGGCTTCTCTCAAAGCCCCCAAATCAGAGGAAGGCAGAGCTCTGTGGGTCTGAGCTTCAGTCTGGGTACCCCCTCAGACACTCCCTACCCCCCCCCCAGCCTCTCCTGCTCAGGCCAGCTCTCTCCCTCAGCTCCTGCCTTCATCCCTGCCTCCCACACACCTGTAATTCACCTTTCTGCCTTCTTGCCCGTCAGTGGCTAGGCAACGGGACTTCCATCAGGGTCGGCTGCGCTGCCTCAGAAGTCCCACGAGGGGGCGCGCTGGTGGCAGCCAGGGGGCCACGCACACCTCCATTTGGGTCGGTACCATCTTCCTCGTCCTGTAGGGAACACGGGAATGGAGGCGAAAGGAAAGAAAAAAGCGAAATGTCCTTCTCTACAGTCCCTGTTCCCGACACGCACCCGAGGAGCCATGACGGCCATGCCGTCGGGGAGAGGAGAGCCCTAGTGAGCCCAAGGGGGAACGAGAGAGGGGCTCCTTGGGCTCGGGAAAGGAAGGAAGGAAGGAAGGAAGGAAGGAAGGAAGGAAGGAAGGAAGGAAGGAAGGAAGGAAGGAAGGAAGGAAGGAAGGAAGGAAAGAAGGAAGGAAGGAAGGAAAGAAGAAAGGAAGAAAGGAAGACAGGCAGGAAGGAAGGAAGGCAGGAAGGAAGGCTCTTTTGGTCTGGGAGGCTGGGTCATCCCTGCCTGAGTGGGGAAGGGGTGGGGCGAGGCCCATGCCCATTCCTGGACTCTGGGCAATCATCCTGCTCTCCCCTGTCCCCTCCCCTACCAGGACCTGTCTCTGAGAGTGACAGTGGCCGAGTGCGGCAGCGATGGGCGGACCGACAACATCGGCCATGTCATCATTGGCCCACTGTCCGGTGGCATGGGCATCACCCACTGGAACCAGATGCTGGCCACCCTGCGCAAGCCTGTGTCCATGTGGCACCCTGTCCGGCGAATCTAGGAGTCCCCAGATGCTGAAGCTGGGGGCCATGTGCCGGTGGCCCCTGCCTGGGACCCTCCACCCCCCCCCGGGTTCCAGCGCAGACTCTGCTCTCTCCATGCTCTTCTCCCCACATTCCCAGCTGCAAAGGGGAACATGGCTCCACCCATAGACTATGCCTTCTCTGCCCTGCCTCCCTCCCCTGGGCTCCCCACCCTCCCTGCAACTAGGACTTACCTGGTTACCATCATTGCCTATTTCAAGAGAAGAAGGAGGTCTCCACAGGCATGTACCAGAGATGGCCTCTCCCGCTGGCCTTGGGCACAAGCTCAGCCTTCAGAAGGCTGGAGGAGGTGCCAAGGCTGAGCTGGCCAGTGAGGGGCCAGGCCACAGGCAATGTCGCCGCAAGCCCCAGATGGGCTTTTCTTGGAGTCCTGGCTGAAATGAACTTGGCTCTCTGAGCCCATCTAGCTAGTAGCCCCAAGGGGAGGAAGGAGAAGTCTAGAGTCCTACCTTCTCCAGAATCCTCCTGGGGGGATGCTTTCGTCTTCATGGGCTCCACCACACTTGCTTTCTTTGAGGACAGGTCCTGCTTCAGCCAGATGCCTGTGCTCTAGACCAGATGGAGAAAACCCAAGAATTAACAGATCTCACTCCCATTGCTATCCTGCTCCAGAAGTTTGCAAGATGCTTTGCTCAAAGCCACCGTGGGACAAAGGACATACAGGTCATATTATCCCCATTTTACAGATAGGGAAACAGGCTCAGAGATGAGGAGGGGCTTACAAGGTTACATGACAAGGAAACAGAATACTCTGCCTCGTGGTTGGGGAGACCAATTGGATAATCAGGAGCAAGCCCTACTGTGTGCTCAGTGCCAGTGCCAAGAGGTGTGGGGGAGGCCAAAGAGGAAATGACTTCTAGGGGTGCTCACAGCTCCAGCTGGAGATACACAATGTATGAGATCCCAAACACCATAAGGAACTGGACAGACTACGAATGCTACAAGGATAAAGAAGAGAAAGGTCGGTGTAGACAGAATTGCTCAAGGAAGACTTCCTGGAGGTGGGGGGAAATTTCCCACTTCCCTGTAGAAAGGGCAGATAATCCAGGCCACGGAATGGTAGATTTGTGCAGGGAAGGAATGGGCTACGATATCTGGAAAGTGTGTGTTCTGGTGACTGGCTCTGTGTGCATGGTAGGTTCTTGTTGGTATGGACAGGGACAGTTATAGGAGGGATCTTGGGGGAAAATAGCCCTTCCCAGCTGAGGACAATGGGCCTTCGGAAGTAGCTCCTGGTTATGTTAAAAGTAAAGAAGCCCTAAGGAAAGCCAGTCAAAAAAATGCTGGATCCTCAGCCCCGTTCTCAACCTTTGAGCAGCTGATTGGATCAGTCAGACTCTGCAAAGAACCCTAGGGGATCTTAGGTATTGGACCACTCCAAGAAACTACCTATAACAGTCTTAGGTGTGCATGGTAGACATCAGAGAATATGGAATATTGGAGGGACCTTAGAGCAGAGAACATGGGATGTCAGAGCTAGAAGAGTCCAGTGCCATCCAACCCCTTTATTTACAGAGCACAGAACTGCTGCCCAATCTAAGACTGGTCCATTCAGATCTCTATGAAGAGCCCCAGAAAGGGCAGCTACTCTTACTATTAGTAATTAGCAGTGGTCAGGGCCTGAGTAAGGAGGGGACCCTCCTAACTCAAGTTCTGGCTGTTTCAGACCATACTGGCTCCACAAACCTGGTCACCCCATCCCCGCCCCAGATCAGTCACGATTCCCTAGCTGGAAGCCCTCAAAGATCCTGGGGCCTTCTGAATTCCTTTCTGATTGACGTTTCCAAGTCTTCCCCTTAGCCCAGCTTGGGTGTATCATTCCCCCAAAAAAACCACACACAACCCCCCCAATTAAAATAACTACCATCTAAAAACAGCCACATTATGTGACTCAAAAACAAACAAAAAAACTGGAAGCAATACCACAACCAACATTTCAGGATGGCTCCGAGCAGCCTCCCCAGCCAAGCCCAATCTTAGTAATTCAGGACGCTGATGATGGAGGCTGATTTTACCTGAGCGGCCCTACTTTCATATGAGTTGGGCTGGTGAAGTGGGCCGGGAGAGGGCAAAAAAGGGGAGCTTGAGAAAAGACAATTTCCTGGGTGCCCCTGGGGAAATGATTTCATCTTTCTGGGTTTCCAAAGGAGGGAATTAGAATTGATGATCTGGAAGGTCCCTCCCAGAGCTAATGATCTATGACTAAGTCACTTTGGGATGGTCACTTAACTTTTCCAGATCTGCCAAATGGGGGAGCTGGGTAAGTTGAGAGACTCTGGAGCAGTCTAGCCTTATGGGGCTCTGGGAGCCTTGATCACAGCTTGAGGAGCTAGCCCTCATTTTGTCCAGGAGGAAACTGAGGCCCAGGTGATCAAAAGACCTGTCCAGGATCACCCAGCTGGATGGCGGCAGGACTGGCTACTTAACGGAAAATCAGAGGGTTGGTCCCTCCCAGCTCTCCAGACAGTTTGATTCTATGGTGAATGGTGATGGAGGTAGGGACCCGTCGGGAAAGAGAGGGCAAATAGGATCCGAAGAGGGATTTTGCATCTTTGGGAAGAAACAACTTCCAAGGCCCTCAGAAGGCCCCTTTACCTAGGCTGGCCCAGCTTTGGGCGCCCAGATGCGGGAGCACCTCCAGCAGTAGAGTTCAGGTAGAAACCTGGCAGCCTGAAGCCAGCCCTCTGATGTGCTGATGACAAAGGATCCTCCTCTGGTCCTCAGAGCTCCTTCTCAGGGAGCTGACCAAGCTCACCTGGCCTCCACAGCAATCGTTCAGCACTGGAAAGCTGGCCAAACCACAGTCCTTTAAAAAAAGACTTCTGCTCTGCTGACTGAGGAGAGCGTTTCCGGGATGGTGGCTGTTTGGCCGGCAGAGGCTGCGGCCCTGACAGGCAGATGTGGCCAGCACGGCTCCTGGTCCCCCCAGGTATTTGGAGAGCTCTCGGGGCCTGACCCAGCTTCTGGAGCCTTCTTGTGTGTTTGTGCTTGTTTGTTTCCCCCTAAAGCAGTGAAGGCTCATTACCCAGAAGGCTTTTTACTCATTTCCATATATACAGATGCTTTATAATCTACACTTTCCTTGAGACAGTTCCTGGAGGACACAGGGGGTTCAGGGGTTGTTATGCCTACTTTACAGACGAGGAAAAGGGCTTAGAGGGATGGTACCGAGGCCCCCACAGTTACAAATCAAGTAAGTGGCAAAGCCTGGACTTGAACCCAGGACCTCCAACTCTAAGACATTATCCCTGATTGTCCCAGATAGCAAACAACTTAATTTAGGTACTTCCTAAGCTACAAAGGGAGCCTGGACTGTTCTCAGCTGGGGGGAGGAGTCGAGGCAGGTGAGGAAGGTGCTCACCCCAGCTGGCTGACTGGTCCTTCTTTTAACAACTACTTCTTGGTAACTCGGTGCTAAGCTCTTTTGCTACTGAAGGACACCAAATGGTATGAGCAGCCCTCCAGATGAGACACCCAAGAGAAAAGTCCTTGCTGCCTCAGCCTAGTTGCAGCTCTGGCATAAAGGAAGCACTTCCTGTCGGTGAGAGCCCGTCATCCTTGGCCCGGGCACCTTGGCTGGAGGCTGCGAGAGTCTCCAGTTGGGTAATCTGATGATTGTCCACCCTGTTCCCTGATGCCCTAGATGGTCCTTTCCACCTTGCAGCCCCTCAGGGTTTGAGGGAAGGGCTGAAGTGTTCCCCCAACATTCTACCCAGTGGGCAGGAGAGAGCAGCATCTCCTAACCTACCAGCTCCAAAGAGCAGAGTTAACCCCTATTGTTGTTGTTGTTTTTAACTGCATGAAATGTAACAAATGTGTGTAACAAACGTGTGTAACAAATGTGCTGAGGTATCAGTGATCTAACTTCCCCTACAAAAAAAATAAAGCAGCTGGAGAAAAAAATGCTCTCGGGTGGTCATCTGTGTGTCCATGCCAGCCCCTGTGGGTCCTGGGTCTTTGGAAATCGAACTTGGACAGGACAGGAGATTCCCACTGCCCAGGTAAGTGGGTGTCAGGAAATAAAAGACCTGTCAGAAAGGTGGAGAGAAGAAGCCACTGAAATTAAGGATGGAGGAAAGCGGTAGCCTCTGAGAGCATCCCTAAGATGGGGCCATGGAGAGCAGGAGGAGCTATCCAAAATGCGGAGCAGGAGACCAAAGGGAAGGGAATCTGTTCACTGCTCTGAGATTCTGGGACTCAATGACTCAATCGAGCAGTAAACATTTATTAAATGCTTACCACGGACCAGGACCAGGCACCCGTGCTAAGTACTAGAATTACAAAGAGAGGCCAAGTCCCTGCCTTCAAGGAGCTCACAATCTAATTCGGGAAAACAAGGAGCAAACAAACAGGTGTGTGCTCCATGCAGGATGCAATACTTAACAGAGCACTGGAGGTCAGAGAAGGCTTCCAAGGCAGAAGGGGAGATTTTAGCTGGGACTCCAAAGGAAGCCAGGGAGGGCAGGAGTTGGAGCAAAGAAGGCAGATCATTCAGGCCTGGGGACGATGGAGGGTCTCTGGGCCCGAGTCACTGGACGAAGACTATGTGTGGGGGAGGAAGTTATAAGGAGACTGGAAAGGTGGGAGGGGCAGATGACAAAAGGCTTTGAATGCCAAACTGAGCCCTCTGGAGGCCATAGGGAGCCTTGGGAGGTTAAGGAGGAGGGGGGATGGCATGATTAGAGCTGTGCTTTAGGAAAATCACTGTGGAGGATGGACTGGAGTGAGGAGAGAGTGGAGACACGTGTACCCCCAGCTGGTAGGTGATGAGGGCCTACCCAGAAGAATCTCAGGTCAGGAACTGGGTGAATTCAGAAGGGCCAAAAGTTATCAAGAAGCATCTTGCTGACCACTATCTCCAACACCAGTGGGGTAAAAGAAGGCTCTAAAATCATTCTCTACTGGACGTTTTCCTGGCTATGCTAGAACCCTTCTACCTTGTTCCGTCCTCCAAACACTCAGGGAAGGAGGGAAGCCTGTGACTTTACAGGAGAGCAAACCATGGCCCCAGGATTTGTCAAGCCACTTGCTGAAGGCCATCTCAGCAAGTTCAGGGCAGAGATAGGGAGGCCAGTGGGGTGGCAGAAAGGGAGGCAGAAGCTGGAGTCCGAGGACCAGAGTTTGAATCCTGACCTCTCTACTTTCTGTAAAATGACAAGATGACCTCTGAGCTCCTGTCCATCTCTAAGTCTGAGACCCGCCCGAGGCCTCCAGTTTGGAAGATGTGGGGCCTTTTTTCCCCCTTCCTTCCCAGCCTCTTCTAGTTCCCTTTTGTCCATCACTTCATGCAGAGCAGAGAGCACTGGGTCTGCAAGACCTATACTTACTAGCTTCCTGACCCAAGTCATGTTATTTCCCGTCTGTAAAATGGGGATAACAGTATCAGCCTAACAAGCTCAAATGAAATAATGTCTGCAAGGCTTCAAGTGCCTTTCCATGAACATCAGCTGTTTGCTGACGACGGTTCCCGTTCCTCGCCCCATCGGGGCCATAAAGGGCCCGCTGTGCCCGTGAACTCCTCAGCTCCCTCCTTCTCCCTCCCTTCTTCCTCTCTCTCTCCCTGTCTCCGTCTCCTCTCCTCAGCCCCTGCCCTGCTGTATCCGGTGCATCTCAGAGCGCAGGCAGCGCGTCTTTGCCCCGTCTCCCAGCTCAGCCTCACCACTTGCCTGGTTACCCTGAAGAGCTGGTGCTGTCTTGGCTACGTAGGCTGGGCCTGGAGCCTTCTGGCCCCATCTGGCCATCCTCAATATGTTCTGGCTCCCAATTTCCTTCAAGAGGAAAGCTCCCCTGCCTGGCATTTAAGGTTCTCGACATGGCAGCCCCCTTCTTCCTCGCCTGCCTTCTCATGTTATATGTTTATGCTGACTAGGCTTTGGCCACACTGCCATCTTTGCCATCACACATGCAATGCTGTGTCCCAGATTGGCCTCCTGGAGTCCCCCACTTCCTTCAGGGCCCATCTCCTGGAGGAGGCCTTGCTCGGTCCTTGGCCCACACCCTGGCACCCATACAGGGAGACTGGAAGGTGCCAGCAGGTCCAACAATCTAAGTCACTGGCTCCCTCCTCCCTTAGGGGCAGAGACCCCCAACCTGTCTTTGTACCCTCCTCTCTCCAGCAGTGGATGCCTCAGCATCACAGCCAATCACCCAGAATGTCTAGAGTGAACTTTGCTGAGCTCTGGAGATGCACAGAAAGGCAGACACAGGGTCCCTGCCCTCATGGAGCTCCCATCCCACCAGCCAGCGGTCAACAAAGGCTTGTTTGGGGGTCATGTCCCTGTCCACCAGCCTTTGCTGGCGCTGGGATGGGCCCCTCTTCCCACCCCATTCTCGAAACCTGGGAAATGCCCTCAAAAGTCCCTCATAGCTTGGGCATCCTACACCAAGCACTGGGCGCTAGGACATAGCCCGTGGAACCCTGGAGCACATGGTCGCCGCCTCCATGCTATCAGACTGAGCACCTGAAGGTTTGCAGAGTGCTTTTCAGAATTCCAGAAGAGCTGGCCCTGTGTCTGTGGAGAAGCAGGCTGCCAACTGCCCCACGCCTTGAGCAAAAATCTAAAACTTGTTCCAGGCAATTATTTGATCATTATTTGATCAAGCTATCCAATGAGAAACTAAACGAAGTGACCACCTCTCCCCAGGACTGCACAAAAAGTCAGGCGGAAGCCCACAGGCCATAAGCAAAGGCACTATCTGTTTGGGACATACTGAATTTAAGATGCCTGTCGGATATCCAACTCAAAATGTCCAATACATGTGAGACTAGGGGCCAGCAGAGGTTAAGGGTAGATCTGAGTGTCCTCTGCAGAGAGATGGCCATTCAATCCACGGGAGCTGATGAGACCCCCAAGTAAAGCAGGCTGGAGGGAGAGGAGAAGAGGGCTCGGGATAGAGCTCTGGGACCACCATGGTGAACGGAATCCAGCAAAGGAGACTGAGAAGGAGTGGCCAGACAGGAAGGAGTAGGGCCTCGCTGAGGTTATAGAATGTAAATCTGTTGTGGACCCAGTCAGAACGGTTGTGATTTTCTCCACTTTCATCCAGGAGCAGGAGCGCAGGAGCAAAAGCAGTGGATGGCGGGAGTGATCCAACATAGAGGCTTGGCTGGGTACAACTGGTAAAATGATAGGGGACAAGGGGCTCAAGAAAGGAAGACTGTCAAGTTGAACTGGTTCACCCAGGGGTCCGGATGGGGAAAAGAAGAAAGAGTGGCTAGTGCAAGGTCAAGGGTCTGACCATTTTGGTACACAGCTGAGGTGTGGTGGAGGATGAGGTCATGAGAAATGAGTATACTGAGGAGCTGGAAAGGCTGGACATTGGAGGAAGTATCACTGTATAGGCTGAAGTCCCCTGATACAGGGCAGGAGGTGGGGCACTGGACTCAGTAAGGAAGGAAGAGCAGTGTCCTGGGGTCTACAGACAACAACTAAGGGGATTTTAATTGGCTGGTAGATGTGGACTGTCCGGACTTCAAAGGAGAAGAGGTTCTGGGATGACGGCAGGAGGAGAAGCCTCCAAGTGGCAGTGGGGAGCCCAGAGTGTTCTGACTCCCCCCACCCCAACCAAGAGTCCATCAACGCCAAAAGTGCCTCGGGAAGAGAGCCTGGTCCTGGCACAGTCTGGGAGCCAAAGCTGACGAGATGAGTTAACCAAGAAGTCAATGACCACTCTACAGAATTACTATAGATTTAGAAATAACCAAAAATCCAACCTAAAAGGAGAGAATAATTCCATGACAACTATCAGCAGACTCAAAGGAAAAAATGGATTTTCCACCAGGATGACATGAATACCCAGGAGAAATGAAACAAGATCAAAATAAATAAATTAAACTTATAGAGGAAAGAAATGGAAGGAGATAAATAGCTTAGAACAGAAAGCTGCAAGCTTCTCCCAACTAACTCCCTAATTCCATTCTTATGAAAATGGACCAAACCAAAATCTAGAAGTTCAGGAGACAACAAGAAATAGTAGAACAAAATCGAAAGATGGACAAAGAAGGAGAAAATGTAAGATATCTGCTAAGAAAAACAACTGACCTGAAAACACATGGGGAAGGGGAGGTTCCCTGTTGTGCTGTGGACTGTCAGAGAAAGGTCATGTAGTGAATGCAAAGACTGTAAGGAGGCACCAGGAAACTAGTAATGGCTCTGTCAAGGTGTGGGAGGCATTTCAATTCAATTCCACCAAAACCTCCCACTGCCCTACTTTGTAGCAAGGCCCTAGGCTGGGTGCTGGAGACACAGACCCTGCCTTCCAGGAGCTTCTGTTCTATGAGGCAGGAAGGGTCTGGCGGTGGGGCTGGGGAAGGGGGAGCCTCATCAGCACAACCAGAGGGCTTGATTCACAGACCTTGGAGAGGAAGGAAAGGCAGCTCTGGAGGTCTACACCGGAGGACCAGGCAAAGACAGACAAAACTCTAACTGCTAGGAGTCTCAGTGCGACCTGTGGGCCTCAGAGAGGAGATGCACCACAGCCTTCCTCAGCTCACCTCTGGCCTGCTGCAGCCTCCTCCACTTCCAGGTTCTCCCTTTCCAATTCTTCCTCCCCATAGCTTTCTGACCCTTCTAAAGCACAGTCCTAACAACCCTGGCCCTAGGCCCCAGGTACTCTGGCGATTCCCTACTGCCTCTGAAATAAAATGCTAACTCCTTGGAATCTTCTGCAGGCTGATGGCACTTCATTGGGCCCCCTCACACCCCTACCCTGTATTCAGTCTGGCTGGCCTGCTGCAGTTCCCCACCATCTCCCACCACCAGGACTAGACCCCAGCTGGCTGGAATCCTCTCTCACACTTTTGTCTCTTGAAACTCAGAGCTCTTTTCTTTATTTTTAAAAATTTCTCCTCTTAATAGAATTTTTTCCCCCTCAATTACATGTAAAAATAGTTTTCAACATTC